ATGATTGTTTAGCCTGAAAGAAAACTGTATTCTGTGTGATACAGAGTTTCCTGAGGGCAAATATGCTTTTTTCCCCTTGTTATGTCTGTAGCTATTAGATAAATGTTGTCTGACCACGTTTAGTTCATTCTGCTCCATTTTTCCACTTACAATTTGCATAGTAGATTCTGTTCTCTTACATTTGTTTCAAAAATACCGTATTGAAGTGTAGAAACATGAATGTTCTCATCCTGACTTACAGCCTAAGCAGCTGAGCACACTAAATAAAAAGCTCCTTTCACAGCAGCTATTTTATGGGTATTATGCAAGATGTTCTGTGCTTTGATATAACAGCTCCTAAAGAAAGTGTATTGCAACATGAATTTATAGCAAAACTTTATGCACTTAGTCTGGTAAAACATGTTGGGGGTGGGGAAGAGAGCAAGCTGTTGTAAACTCCTATAAAGTACAGAAAACTTCTACTTTCCCTCCTTTCTAACAAGTGTAAACTATTGAGGTTAAGTAGGTGGGGCAACCGGAAGTAATTACTAAGGCCAGTGGCATTTTTGCGGTTTAATAAAGGCAGAGGCTAATTATTCAGTTTTTATTTAAGTGAAATGATGCCAAAAAGGAGGTTCCTGCAGAGCAGCTGCACTCCGTCAGTGTTACCCTAATTTACCACAGACACAACTGTCACAAACAGAACTTTTAAACTTGATATATAGCCACGAAAGTAAGGAGCCCTTTGTCTGGAGTGCATGCAGAAGAACTCCTTTATACAAATCAACCGGCAGATGACGGACAATGATGAAAATTTGATTCTTTGAAGTCATAATGGTCATTGAAATGTGTGAAATTCTGGTATTGAAAAGAGAGCGGCTAGCAAGACTCTAAATCCTGGGTGGTTGCTGGAAGCTTGCTGGGAGGTTTTTCTATGTTTTGACATCAACTTCCCATTGCTTGTTCCCTGTTTCCTTTATTAAAAAAAAAAAAGAAAAAAAAAAAAAGAGAGGGAGGGTGCTAAACAGTGGATAGTTGATAGTAGTTATGTACAGGTTTTTTTGTCTATGTATGGAAAGAAGTGTCATAGGAGAAACAGGACACCTTTATGCACACCTGACCCATCTATTCAAAACCACTTGTTCTCAGAGATACTTTGAATCATTTTGTCTCTTCCCCTTGAATTACAGATTTCCATTTCTTGTCCCTTTTGGAATTTGTGCTATTAGTGGAGTACTTCAGGAAATTCTCATTTCCTTTGAAAGTCATCTTCATGCTTTCATTGATACTGCCTCTGAGAATCAGTTTTTCTCCCTGCT